AAGTAGACTGGACATAAACCACACACTTGAGGTGTCATTGTCTCCTATTACCCCGAGATGGGACTGTCTGATTGCAGAAAATCAAGCTCGGGGCTGTGGTGAGTCATCATTTTCATGCACTTTGAATTTGCGTTGTATCGTATTTTGAAGGCATTAAACATGACCATCGCGATAAGAGTGTTGCGACCGGATTAGACGCTCCTTGTGTTTATTATTATATTTCGAAAACACCACAGTTTTCATGAAGCTCATACCATATTATTTTGTTGTGTTAATCCGCCACACCTTAAATGCCGGTCCCTGAAAATATTGTCTGATTTAAACCGGTCCGTGGGGCAAAAAAGGTTGGGGACCCCTGGCCTAGACCTTGACTGTTGCGAACAATCACTGAATCGATTTTTTTTTTTTTTTTTTTTAGCAAAAAATGACTTTCGAGTGAGGTTCAGTCACTCCGACAGCAGATGGTGGCAGCAAACCTCATAACATCTAGCCACTATCATTTAACATGTGACCTCGCAGTGAAAGTAGAGATGCAGTTGTGGTTTGTGCCCAGATTTTTCGACTTTTGCAGTTAATCAAGCTTCCCAAGAGACTGAGTGCTGAGAATGGTAAATTAAGTTGTCGGGGCTCCATTCCTAAAAGAGCATTTTTTTTTGTCACATTTGTGTTTGTTGATGTGCGTTGACATTTATCTCATGTAAAATATGTTCCATGGCTCACTAAAGTTTGGTAAAGGCTGCCCTACAGTCCGCTCACCTTGCCGCCATAGTCGCGGTCCAGTCGCAACTCACTGCCCTGCAAGGCGTGCGTGTGCGGGATATGCGCATGCGGCATGGGCAGGGCGGGATGAGGGGCCAGCGGAGGTTTGGCGGCCAGCGGATACTTTCTGCGAAGCTCCTCGGGCACGTTGGGATGCAGGGCGCCGAGCAGGGCCGCCGCCGCTGCTGACACGGTAACGGGCAGGTGGGAGGGTCCCAGCGGCGGCTTCTGAGGGGGCGGCTCGCTCAGGTTCACGGGCTGCTGATCCTCGGAGGACGAGGCCCAGGATGTGGGTGTGCTGAAGTTGAGTGGGGCGGGGCCACAGTTGCCATTGACAACATGGGCTTCCCTGATGACGATGGCTGAGGAGGAGGATGGAGGGGTGAGGGCGGGAAGGCCGCTGCCGCTCTCGGACGATGAATCATCTGAAATAACAAGACAAGGAAAGATTTGGTGAGAGAAAGTTACTTATCGAACTATCATTCATTCATATTTATTTGTATTCGTTAGAGCAGGGATGGGCAATTTAAATGCTGGAGTTGGGCTACAATGTTTTATCTTTGCTGCGGAGGAGCCACATAGGATGACACACTTCCTAACCAGGTTATGACAAAAATGATATTTTAAATATGGAAAAAAATATGTGCATTCGAGCAAAATAGGCCCTTAATATATTTCATTTTTGATACATTTTTCTATGCATGTATAAATGTTTCACTATCCTCACCCAATAACAAAGTGTTTGATGCATACCACAAAATAACCTTTTCTTTTTGAGTACCAAGGCCTCTCATGCATAAAAAAAATACCATTCAAGGATGCCACAAAACTGCTGAAGAAGAAATCAACGTCGTGTGCAACAACTCCTTTTGTACATTTGTTCACAAAAATCAACTCGGTGAAAATTTTAATAATATTGAGGATCTGTGTTTGTCCTTCATATCATTCCGAGCCGCAAAAAAAATATTAGGCCTACTCGCGTTGTTGTATAGGGCAGTATAAAGCCCTGTGTGAGTGCAACTACGATATTTCTGCCATCTAGTGGTGACTGGTGATTTGACAACTTAAAACTACAATCAACCACTGTGCGTGTATTTGCCATTCAGTACCAGCAGATTTGCATATTCCTGGCTATTTTTTGTTCTTTTTTCTCCCATTGCTCAACAATTTCTGTGGAAAATGTATATTGAATGTTTATCAGTGGATTTTGAAGAATTCTTGTTTCAAAAAATAATAAAAATCCCAAACTATATTTTGTTTTGGACTGCCAGCTGCCCATCTCTACATTACATGGATGTGATATACCAAATTGGTATTATTCTATTTAACCCTTTAATGCCTGACCCATCAAGGAATAGCCAGAAAAATCTGATTTTTGGGAACTGAGATGTTCATTAACCCTTATAACAAAATCCACAAAAATATTTTTGCCATATTATTTTGTTTTAGATATTTGTTGTATCACATTTATAAGCAGATTACATCAAACACTGAAAATTTGGGGAAAATTATATTTTAAAACTGCAGTATCAAATTTGATACAGATGATTTAATGTACTATAAAGAATGAGTTACACAATGAAACTGCTTGTATCAAATATGATACGAATGGCATTATAGGGTTAAGATATTGCAAGCTAAATTTGTATTGATGAATGTAGTTTCTTTAGACCATATGTAATTTGGTTGATTAAATTAAGTTTATAATAATACAGCGCATGTTTGCCATAAAGCATGTTCACAAAATGTCCAGCAGGTGGAGACTTAGCATCACCAAGCAGAAGCGAATGGACCAAATTGTGCATATTGAAAACATACAGGAAGTGTAAAGACGGATATTTATCTCACATATTATGTGCTTTCCAATTCCACAACAGCATCAACCTCTCTCCGCATCCCATTGCTTATTCCATACCCTTCTCTTCCTCCAATCATCATTATCATCATCATCATGCACTTTAATGGACATAAACATTTCATGATGGATGGATGGAATGTGGATGAATGAATGCTGGCAAGAGATGAGAGATGAAACGGGATGACGGACGGATGGGTGAAAAACTGGGCTGCTGAACAATGCACAGATGATGATTATGTTACAATATGAGAAAAATAGCAGCAGACAATATAAGCAGTATTCTTACCAGTACAGTTCAAGCATACTGTTACTATTACTCTTGCTGTTGATAGTACTCTTATAAGTCCACGTACTCTGACTTACTTGTACTGTTGGTATTAGCGGTTAGACATATGCTGTGAGTAGTTCTTTTATCAGCACTACTAATAGCACCGCTTCTCTTACTACTAATATAACTACTACCATTACTACTGGTACTACTGACTGGATGAAAGGTGTCTGCTAGGAATTGTTATAAATGCTCTATTTGGTAAAAATATTGTCTCACGATCAGGGCAAAAAAAAAAAAAAAAGAGCGACCTTCTTGTTTGGACGAACACATCATGATTTCATATTTGACGGCAGCATGTCGATACTGCAGCAGAACAGGCGGACGATGCACCTTTTCGTCTCGGCATGATAATGCAAGGACACATAACGAAGGGATGCAGGAAGACGAAACGGAAAGATGGAGACGAAGGATGCAGGGACTAGTTGGAGAGGGAGGGGGGGCTGGAAAGCAAGGAGCTAGCAAGAGAAAGAGGTCAGGTGGGGGTGGGAGGGCTCGCTTTGGACGGGGGACACGGCTGGGGGGAGGATGTTGCAGGATGACGATGATGATTATGATGATTATGGGGGAAGGGTGGAGAAATATATACACACAATATAGGTACACATATGTGTACAATATGTAAATGTACATATAAATATATCTATATATATCTATATATATATCTATCTATATATATATATTATATATATATATATATATATATATATATATACACACACACACACACACACACACATACAAATACTGTACACATTTACCTATACTGCAGTTGCATAGATATATACATGAGGTATATACATATATGCACATACATATGATACTTCATTCAAATTTTATGCATTATTATTGGTAAACTATTCGCATATGGTACTGTGCAAAAGTCTTGGGCCACCACAATCGTTGATTTTATTGTACATTTTTAAAAGGAGTTATTTTGTCACTTGAACCAATCAAATACAGTAGTTTACCATGATTACATAACACAACAAAGCCCATGTCCACAAAAATTGTTCAGGACGCGATGTGACAAGAAAGAAAATGGTGTCAATGTGTCACTATTACGTCAATGCAACCTGTCCACCACCCAATGTCATCGAATCAAATTCAATACTGGGACTAACAAACACAAATGTGGTGCTCAATTCATTTTTTGTTGTTTTTTTTTTACTTTTATGTGCAGTTTCACTCTGACAAAGCTATGCGCTACTGAGTGACATTCTAGTTAAATAATGACAAAACTAAAACAAGAAATCGAATGGTGGACTAAGATGTTTGTATATACAGTATGTGTGTGCGTGCCTTTAAGACAGCAGCTATAATGTGACTGTCTCAAAAAGGAGGAGGACTGATGGGAGGATGTAAAACAACCGCCCACCCCCCGCCGTCCAAATCAACTTCCTGGGTGTGAAATGGTTTCCAATTTAAGAGGACAAAGGAACGCCATAGCTGGCCGGATGGGAATATTTCTGCTCATGCACAATGAAATGACACCTTATGACCAGAAAGGGGCGCAAGTGGCTGGGCGATGTGGTTGGAATTATTCAATGAAGTCAGATTTCCGATTTCAACTCATTTTCTTCCTTTTGTTTATAGAAAAAGCAAATGACTGCAAATTTATTCCAAGCAAGTTTAGCTTTTTCTTTCTTCTGGTACCAAACACATTTTAAAACTGTTTTGCCAGTCACTCCCTATGATCTGTTTGGCTTTTTTGACGTCAAGATACCCATCCTGACGCAACACATCAATACCATCCAGGCTTCCAAGTGGCCGTGGCTGGGGGGGGGGGGTTCTCTGGGGGCTCCGGTTTCCTCCCACATTCCAAAAACATGCATGGCAGGTTAATGGAACACTCTAAATGTTCCTAGGTGTGATTATGAGCGTGAATGGTTGTTCGTCTATGTGTGCCCTGCGATTGGTAGATAAGCGGAATGGAAAATGGATGGATGGCAAAGAAGTAACCTCCACTAACAACCCATGCTAAATTTAGCTACTCTCAGTCAGCTTGTCTCTCAGTCAAGATATGTCACCTGAGCATGTTTCCTTCACACCAATTACTGTAACACATTCCTATTCAGATAGGATTTACAAAAGGAGCATAAAAACACCGACACATGGGAAATTCTTCAGCAAATAGTTGAGTGTAGATTTGAAATAAACGAACAGCAAATAAGCAAGTGTTCACTCTCCTGTGCATCACATGTAACACGTGAGGAAACATGTTTTCATCTGGAAAACCCCACTTTGTTTGAAACACACACACACGCACGCACGCACGCACGCATACACACACACACACACACATATATACATTGTGATTTACTACTGGATTTTGGGCCTCTCGGTCATAGTCTGACCCTGTGTGTGTGTGTGAATAGGACGCTCTGTGTGAGTGAGCGCCAGATGCATCATACGACCTCGCCGTATGACCACGCTAGTGTGTGTGTGTGTGTGTGTGTGTGTGTGTGTGTGTGTGTGTGTGTGTGTGTGTGTGTGTGTGTGTGTGTGTGTCACACTGTCACATGGACGCCGCCGCGACCTCGTCTGTGTGTGTGTGTGAGTGTGTGTGTGTGTGTGCGTCACACTGTCACATGGACGCCGCTGCGACCTCGTCCGGATCCGAGCGCTTTGACACCAAGGAGATCGTTGAACTTGGGATGACAAAGCACGCACTCCTTAACATATCAGCATCCCCTCCCCATGGCCCCACGTCTCCCTTTGAAAGCCCTTCAACGCCTCCCCACACTAGACGGGGAATCCCGACTCCTTGCTGGAGGCATTCAGAGAAAATGGGAAAACAGTCGGAATAAAGGGATGAAGCTGGAGAGAAGTGCGGAAAGATACAGCTGTAAGGCAAAATGAAAGGATGGGTTGAGAGAGATTTAGTGATGTGGGAATAATAAAGGAAGGGATGAGGGGGAAAGAATGGACGCAGGGTGAGATGGTGATAAAGAAAAATGGACGATGAGAGTCAGTGATGGAGGGATGATGCTGAGATGAAGGAGAGAGAGGGATGATAAAATGAGAAGGACTGAGGAATACATGCATGGACGATGGCAGGGTGAGGGGATGCTTGATTGGGTCATCCGTCCATCATGCTTCGTTTGCGGCTTCATCCTTCCTCCCCCTCGGCCCCCCTCAGAGGGGGCGAGAGTGTTAACAGATGCTAATTCCTTCACTGCTCCCCCTCCTCTCAGTCTCTTCCTCACCACATCCCAGGAGACGAGGATGGGGATGGC